AGTACCTACCTACTTATTGTGCTTCAAGTAACGAGTTGAATTGTGCATTTTTGTATATTCTTGTAGCCCTGAGGAAGCTTTACACCAAAAGCGAAATGAAAACTATAAAAATATTCAAAATCTTTAAGGAACTTGGATACAAGCTGGTAAGATTCAAACCGTACATAACGCCGTTAATATAAAGTTACAGTTTTCACTTTATTTTTTAGAAAAAATTAGTCTTTTCTTACATTCTTTCAATTGAAGTATCTGTAATTTGTTGTCAAACGTTTAATAGCTAATATAATCTGTATAATGAATTTGAATTTGTTAGTAATTGAACAGAAATATTAAGTGGAATTAAACTATATACCTGCATATATGACGCTTGTGAAACGCTCCTCTGCAAAAATTCAAACTTTTTCGCGCAAAAATTTCACGAAAATACATGTATCCTTATGGCGCACGTTTCAGTCAAGCTCGCATAAGCCATGCGGCAGATGGTCCGCACTCTTTTTTAGTCCACGTAAAATACTGAAACATTTGCACGGTGTATTTAACTGCGATTAATCGAGAAGGCCTTCCGAATTGCTATTAAATATATAGATGCTAAGTTTTATTTATTAGTTGACATCTTTGACACCTCTTCATCAAAATACGCATATATTAGATGACAAACATAACATTAACAAAAACAAAAAGATTTCAAAGTTTACCGCTGGGTAACATCAGCTTTAGTTTTTGAAACATCCACCTTCCTACAAGCAAGGCTTGGCAAAATTCTGTTGTAAATGAATTCCATGTTTCCTGAGATATTTGATGCTTTAATTCAGGAATTTTTCTAAGATAATAGAATTAATGGTTGCAGATTTGTGATTTTTGACAAATAAATTTTAAATCAAAACAATAAAGTTAGTATTTTTTATACTTCAAAATTTCGAAACTACCAATTTTGGACAAAACAACCACCAAAAGAGAAATAAATAATTTTCGAGGTGTCTTTTGTTGCTGAATTAGAATCTAATCTTAGAATTGCCCCACTATATCAATATATCTCAAAGTCTCAGTGATGCCTTGTTTAAAAATAGAATAATTCAAAAAAATAGAATAATAAGAAAAAAGTGTTACGGCTATTCTAGAGACAAATTCAAGTTCGTCCTCTAAAACTACATAGAAAATTATTACTTCCTTTTCTGGAAAAGGGGGAATAATCTTCTATTTATTTTTTAATGGGAACTTGAATCAGGATAGTAGATTTGTCCTTTAATTTTAGATATAATAATGCCTTCAAAAAGATCAATAATTTTGAGGGTGAAATATCTCTAAAACCTCACGTGGTGAGCAATTCTGTTCAAAAATGTTATCTTTTTCCTTCTCAACCCTCCAATATTGATGTCCTGTGAATCAGTACTTAACTTTTAAAGAAATAAAGTTATTTTGCTTATATTAGAATTTCACTCTACAATTGTTTAGGCTTTTTAGGTCTTTATCAAGAGAAAAATAGATAGTTACTTAACTTTTTGTTCCTATAAAAATGATAAAGTGTAATGTCCTTTGAGCAAATAGGTGCCCTTGTTTCTGCAAACAGTTTTTATATTCCGAGAAGGTTCCTTATGTATAAATATATTCCATGAGTCACCGATGTACCTACACTAAATACAATTTTATTTTTTTAACAACCCACATTTCTGTCAATTTGATGATGGAAAACCATCTCGTATTGTGAAGATGTATGAGGTTAAAATTAATTATGTCAACTGAGAATCATTATTATTGCTTATTAACCTGCGGTTAATGGTTTGAGTTAAACAAAAAAACAGGATCTCCCACTTATTAATTCCCATTAATAATTGTGACAAATCAATAGTCGTCATCCATTAATTTATATATATTTGCGTTCATTTATGTGTTATAATTAAATTCCTTTTATGTACTCGTAAGAACCCCATAGGAATTACATGAANGTCTCTGACTAGACCTTCATGCCTGAGAAGGTGTCCTACCAACCTATCTCGCCTATTTTTTATTGACTTCCATAGAGTCCTCTGTTCTCCTATTCTTCAATAAAAGGATTCAAATAATAATTCTAATAGAAATTTTTTAAAAAGTATTTGTAATATATCCATAATTTTAATTTTCGTTTCAGTAGGATGTTATCCTGTGAGTACAAAGGTACCTTCGATCGACCCCATTTTTATTTTCGAAAGTTTTTAAAAGTCGAAATTAAATTAAAAAAGTCAGTTGGCTGTAGACTGGTTGGCCGCAGTATCATGTGGGTGGTTTTAAATTGGCCCAAGGTCGATGTCTTGGGGACAGCAGCTGCTGCACATGCCTACACATACGACAACATGCAAACATATCCTATTTTATCCAACGTAATCGGAATGGCCCCAATTTACTGCAGCTTTTACTTGTTCTCATTTCATCCAGCGTTTATTAGAATGCGGGTCTTTTTTGAAAGAAACAATAATCATCAATAAGGATTAGTCAAGCGAAATGAATCAGAATGCAGGTAAACCAATCGTAAACAGTCAAGGATTTGCACATGCAGAAAATGGTTAGATGCTTATCTGAATAAAAATTGCTGTCCAGCTTCTATAACGCGCAGGATCTATAAAATTTAATAAGAGCCTGCCATTTCACATTACCCATTTCCGAGGATTAAAATATCCTACTGACAATTTAAAAAGAGGAATCGATACATAGGTAGCGTGTTTCTTCTCATAAGTAATTTCATAAAAAATTTGACAGTAAACATAAAAATAGTTATGGTAAGTAGGAAAATCTAGATTATAGGCATTTGATAAAATACTACCAAACAATTGAACGAATAAATACTACACCGGAAGTATAAACAAATTTTAGCCGTTATATGAATGTCAGCATCTTCGTTTCTTAACATCGCCATGGTCTTTTTATACAATGCGCAAAGCTCTCTCTCTCTACATATACAATGAATCCAGACACTGTCTTTGTACACTTTTTAAATGATATTTATAATGATTATTTATACATAAGTTTATAATTTTATAACATTAGGTCTATCTGGTTTTTATTAATAAATTTCTTCAAAACTGGACAAGTAAATGATTTTTTTCATACGACTGTTTTGAATAGAAAATAAAATTTTATTTTTAATGTTTTATTTGAATTTGAATCATTATTGCTCTCAAATGTTACAATCTTACGTTTAATAAAAGAATTTAACCATTTTTAAACATTTTTTTCTAAAACTGAAATAACATTTTTTTTTACTTTTCTGTTTAAACTTCATTCAAAAAAATATGCGATCTATAAGAATACATTTAATTTACCTTTCTATGTAGGTACTGTAAAGGTACTGATCGAGTTCCACAGTTGAAATTAATATACAGTTCATAAACACTTTAAACTTTAAAAACCTCACACTTACACTGTTTACAAAAAAATCAAAAACAGTTCACAAATGGTCATCAAAGTATCAATTTACGAAACCAGTTGACACCTGCGAATGTCTCCAAGAGCTACTTATTTTAACTTGAAGTTAACTAACGAAATGATACAAGTTTAAGACTGTTCGACTTGGAAATGCGAACGATGTTGTAGTCGATTATTAAACAATCAGGTGTGGGGATAGTTGTTTTTATAACACTTAGGTCATCAAGATGGGTATACCTAAGTAATAAGTCCGAGGTTGAAAAGTGTAACAGCCTGGACGACAGCATTTAGCAGTTTAGCACTCGAAGTCAATCACCTGGACTGGAGTGAAAAATTGAAATGCCGATCAGGAGAGAATGTGATAAATTTTCCTTTGGATGTTTAAAAAATCGTCACTGCCTCGTTGCATATATTTAGAGAATTTAGGTGGGCAGCCAACTAACTTGGATTTATATGAAGATGCAAATAAGCACTTTCAAGTCTCACTTGAAATAGCTGACACTCTGCTATTGCAAGAAAAATTGTTTAAAATTTCACATATATATGTACTTGTTTTTTCTACAAATATTTCAGCCAGAACTTTAAACTTGTTTATAATCAAGAAACACTTAAAGATTTTAACAAACTTTTAATTTTCGTAACATATTGACTTCCTCAGACGAATTGAGTATATTCAATATCAATATTCTGATATCTGCGTGAGTTACTTAAATGAATACTTCAAATAATTGGGGGGTAGTATTAAGTTAAAATAAATTCAAAACACGGGAGTTATTATCTTCAACTTGGTCATTCAAAATTAATTCCAATTTATTAAATCTGTTTATTTCAAGATTCTCTAAGAGGGTTAATTTTTGCCCTTTATTTCATAAAGAAAAATTATTCCTAAATTTATGTTATATATCGTAAATGTTGAATCAGTTTTATTCTTTAAATAACTGTTTTTATGCTCCAACATGCGTTTTTAAAATTTCCGATGATTTGTCCAATATAAACTTTAGGTCAAGACTCACAAGTTAGTTTTTGAAATCTTATGTGTTTCTTTATTCGTATTTAAGCATATTTTCATCATGCAAAGGTCGAAATTATTCAGCTTTTTATAATAATTTACTTAAAACTATTATTTATTACTAACAAATCGCCTGGTATTAAATTATAGAAAAGGTAAAATGGATAATTCAAATCATTCTAAACGAGAGATATGCAAACTAAAAATTTATTGGAAGGTATCTACCTGCTTGTTTATGTATAAAAGTAATGATGAATATTTTTTATGTAATGATGCCGTTCATTTGACCAACATTATTATTTGTGTGTACTAAGTTCTAATTTTAAAAAAGTTATTTAAAAGATTGATAATAATTAATATTTGCATAACTCCTTTTTTGCCTTTATGTTGATTTTGGAATTATAGCTGCTTTTCAATTAAAATTTGTAATAGTGCCACGACTTCGCATTTTTTTTCTTAATTAGGTATTATATTTTGAAAGATTTTATTTTAATTTATTAATATTCTGTTTTGTATAAAACAATGTGTAGCACACTAACTTAATGGGTTGCATAAGATGATGTTGTCACAAAGTATAAACGTATTTTCCGAATGTTGTTATATAAAATAGAATACTAAGATAATATTTAATTTAATTGAACTAACATCATCCCCCTAATCTCAATAATCAGTAAGGCAATACAACTTTTACGTGCAGGTAGATGTGTATTAATTGTTTTTAGTAAATGGCTATAAAGTGTCTCATTATTACCATAGGCCTGCAAAAGAAGAACAAGAAGAGCACGTGAAAGTATCCCTAACCTATCTTTTTATTTCAAGGGAGCCTAAAATATTATTGAAATCCGAGATTCTAAGTAGTTCTAAATTAAATAATAAACTACAATTCCAGAACCTGGAGTTCGCAGAAAGGTAAGAGCCTTATTCGCTCTTCGTTATGTATTTAAGTTGAGTATCTTTTTCAAGAAGAGTAATATCTAAATATGGGTAAATTAGAACACATTCAAACGTTATCAAAGCATATTGGTCGTGTTTGGAGCGTAGCGTGGCATCCAAAGGGAGATGCCCTTGCCACATGTGGTGAAGATAAGACTATTCGAATATGGGCTAAAGAAGGGAAAGAGTGGGTTAATAAAGTAATTCTTACAGATGGCCACAAACGAACTATAAGAGATATTTCGTGGTCTCCTTGCGGTAATTACTTAGCTTCTGCCAGTTTTGATGCAACTGTGGCTATATGGGATAAAAAATCAGGCGAGTTTGAATGTAGTGCTACCCTTGAAGGGCATGAAAATGAAGTTAAAAGTGTTGCGTGGTCAAAATCTGGGCATCTACTAGCTACTTGCAGTCGTGACAAATCGGTATGGATTTGGGAAGTAGCTGAAGATGACGAATATGAGTGTGCAGCTGTTCTTAATGCACACACGCAAGATGTCAAAAAGGTAATCAGCTTATTTTGAGAATCGTTGCATATCTAGGTAACATGTCAATATTGTAGATCACCTGGCACCCTCATGTTGATCTCTTGGCTTCTGCATCATATGACAACACAGTGAAGATATTCAAGGAAGACCCTTCAGACAATGACTGGATCTGTATAGCTACTTTAAGTTCACACGAAAGCACCGTATGGAGCTTGTCTTTCGACAAGACTGGAAATCGATTGGCTACATGTAGTGATGACCAGACTGTTAAGATTTGGAAACAGTATTTACCAAATAACTCTGAAGGTGTGCCCACAACTGATGGGGAGGCCTCCTGGAAATGTATTTGTACTTTATCAGGATATCACACAAGAACAGTGTATGATATAAGTTGGTGTCATTTGACTGATTCTATTGCAACTGCATGTGGTGATGATATAATAAGAATATTTAAAGAAGATGAGGGAAGTGATCCAAATGCTCCTACATTCAGTTTGATTAATTCTGCTGAGAGATCACACACTCAAGATGTTAACAGCGTTAAGTGGAACCCTAAAGTTCCTGGTTTACTTGCTTCTTGTAGTGATGATGGAGACATCAAATTATGGAATTTTATAGAATGAAAAATAAATAGGTGCATTCTTTATTTGTACATATAAGATGAAATTGTTTTTATAACAGATAAATAATTTGTAGTCTAAAATATTGTAAATAATTTAGGTCAAGTACTTATTTTACATTTTATTGAAATCTATTAAATACTACACCG